CGCGATGGGTCAGCTGTAGATATTTGGCCGCCTCTTGATCTCCTGGCAAGCCAGATTGTGTCGGTCAACTGCCCCCAGATCTTGAAGCAACACCACCTCCCACACGAGACTCAGCACTGACTAGATTGCAAGCAGAGATAAATTTGTGTCCAACATGAACAGCCTCATGATCACGTTTGCCATCGCAACGATGCTGATGCTGCTCAGCGCGGTGAAGGTTAATGCAGCTGGTGAGTGATGCTTCAATGCCCGCATAAACGCAAACCGGCTCGCTTTCACGCGCGAGCACATTCTCCCTGCCTGACAATCTCTTCACCTCTGGCAGTCGTGGCTTGGGCTAGCAACATTTGCCAGTCATACACGTACAGCCGAGATGCGGCAACTTGCTGGAAACAAGCTTGTCCCGACTTCATGCATCCCGACACGGTCGCTCGGAATGAATTTGTTGGGCAGGGTGACAAGCCCATAAAGGCGACAGTCACTTGCACTTCGTAAGTAGTAGAGTAGAGATAGTCCAAGAGGCGACGCTTTGAAAGTCCAAAAACGCTGCCTCGCTACGAAGCTGATGCGCTCGACGGAACCATTGTGTCCTTGATGACCTTGTCTTCATACCATCACGAATCACGACCGTTCACCAGATCCACTACGTCCTACACACAAGGCGTAAGTGACTCATCAAAGGTGCAGCCTCCCATCGACCCCTCTCGCTTCGGCCACTCACTCCTCCCATCTCACTTCGTCTCTCACCTCATCGATTTTCTGCACTTTGACAACGTCTGAACTTGGTGCCCTTCCTTTAGGGGCAGCTCCAAGGGCGAATGCGCGGCGCGTCCACAGGCGCAGATCATGCTCAAGTGTATCGTGTGCATCAGAACTTATCACAGAAACAAACACCTAGCGCGCTAGAATTCTCGAGGCCGCTCGAGTCAGAGTGCCTTGCACAAGCAACGTCAATGAATGATTGCTCCATTCCCTTGTCCGTGATGCATCCTGATCTCCGATCGTGATGCCAACGTCATTCACAGCACAGATAGCATCCGTTGCTATATGCCATCGTTCAAGTCTACGTATCCTCGCTGTTCTGTCCCTTGATGGCGAGCCAAGCCTCTCTAGTGTCCACCCCCTCGATCCTCACTTCTCTTCTCGGATCATCGATGCCCAAACCCTTTTCCGCCAGCGTGCGGATCACCTTGATTTTGTGAGGATGCAGAACAGCATAGGAGACGGTGCGAGCCAGCACGGCGAGAGCTCTTAGCGCAGCTATCCTGGTCGACTGAAATGAAATGAAAGATGAAGGGGCGCGCGGGATTGAGCTTAAGTCAAAGTGTGGGGCGCGCGCGCGCGCGCGCGC